ATAAATGATGACATCCATCCTTCAGATGATAATACTATCATTAGAGCCGCTTCAGAGTATCCACATCCAGTATGAGCATTTAATCACTAGGAACGATAGCAAGCACTGGCAGTAAAACATCCAGCTGATCTGGCCCCACTGCTCAACACTACTCTACACGCCAAGAAGGAAATCCCACTATTTCACTTTAGAACCATAACAAGCAAAACCAATCTCGATGAAGTTTACGAAATAACTTACATATGATTTGCATGCTCCTTCAAGTCGTTCTCGAGTCTAGAGTCTAATTATCTAAACCTGCAACAGTTAATCCACGGTCTGGATTCCTGACAACGATGGCAATGGGATCAAGTTTCTAAATTTAAGGCTTGAAGTGGGGATGAAATGTGCTCACACCAGTAAGTTTTTGCCCTTTTTACCCTCTTACCTTAGAGCTTGAGTCGATGTGGCGACATGACTGGTTACAATGGAACGTACAGTACAGTACCGTACAGTGTACAGTGTACAGTATACAGTGCACTACACTGTACGGTCAAAGAGTCAAACGAATCAAACATGGGATGAATCATCAATGCCACGTACTCGACTATGATTTGCTTATTTCATTTCAAGCAAATCACTTGAAATGTACTGTACAGTACATTGTACACTGTAGACTCTACAGTACTGTAGTGTAGAGTATGCTACTATAGAGTCCGTTATGTTTAAACTGCGCAAGTACGTTATATGTGAGAGCCAATAGAAAATGGCCACGCATTTCCCTTCGTACATGTCACGTACAGTACTGTATATACTGTACAGTGTACAGTATTGTACAGTACTGTACAGTACTGTACTGTATGTACTGTACAGTACTGTGTACAGCACCTTCCACTTGCAAGTTGCAACAAAGTACAGTACTGTACAGTACAGTAAACAGTACAAAACATAGAGTACGAAGTACTGTACTACAGAAAAACCATAAATTGACCCTAATGGAGTTAAAATAATGTAATAAATAAAATAAAATATATAATATACAGTACACTGAAAAACGATAAATTGACCCTTTAATGGAGTTAAAATAATAAAATAAAACGAAATATTTAATATACACTGAAAAACCATAAATTGACCCTAATGGAGTTATACTAATAAAATAAAATAAAATATATAATATACTGTACACTTATACAGTAATATATTGTCCTACAATTTTTGTAGGCTTGTCTGATCTACACTGTATGACAGTACAGTATAGCACAGTAGGATTGGCTAGCGTACTCATACTACAGCACAATCCTACAATTGTCAAGGTTAATATGATTATATATATATATATATACACCTACAGTATTAGCCGGCTATGATGCAGAATAGCCGGGGAATGCGCATTTTAAAATAACGTACAGTATATTATTATTAAATTGATTTATTCATACAGTAGTCAATTTTCACATCAAGGAGGTAATGAATCATTTTTACACAATCAAATATCGACTCTCATTAGAAGTACTGTACGATATACATTCATATTATTATAGTAATACAGAGACTGGCTAAAGAAGATGATTTCCAAATAATAAGGCCAACTATCATACTTGCACTCCAAAACAGTTGTCTCATTTAGGCTAATGGATAGCATAATAACGTCACGATCAGTAAACTATACTTATCAGGGATCAATTCAGGAAGAACTACGGTAAATTAGCAACCATCAATTCCTTATTAGCATGAAATATTACCCAAATTAGTGCTTTAATTTGTGATTAGCTCCAATTTATTTCATTTTAATAATGCATGTATTAGCTAGGCGTATGAAGTAGACGTAGTTAATAGGATAAATTGACTCATTCGCGTTAGAAGATCAACTGGACTAAACATCACTAAATTCTGTATTGAAAATTTTAAATACATACTTTAGATAGCGATATTGGAGAGATACCGTACGTATAGTTTATACCTTATAAGTTGAAAGGTACTTTCAAGTTGATACTCATCTGGCAGATCGCAGGTACTAGACTATTCAAGCAGAATTCATTTTTGTTGTAGATCCGGTACTCTACCAATTACTAAAGCCCATGTCTAGTATTCTTAGTTACTGCCCTTGCGGGATTCGACGAGAGATATTGACAACTTCTATTTAGACATTACTATTCTTAATATTTCATTGTTGATTTTTATCCAATTAGATTAACTTGGGTACTTCGCACTCTATAGTATTCGCGAATAAAGAGTGTCCCTCGGAAATAGTGAGCTAATTTATTTCTAAGTGTAATACGCTGTATAACTCGTATCCCTCATCGGTAATTATTAGTTTGCAGATCCTATGTGGTAACTGCTCTCGTTTTGTTTAACAATTATTCGCACATATGTTATTGTAATAGCCTCACTAGTCACTGCTACTACATTAGTACTTCACCACTTCATCATCAGCCACGCTCCACTAACAGACTTTAATCTATGCAAACCGTTACAGTTATATATTCGTACGTAATATGTGTATAATGTGAAGTAGAAAGTGCAAGTACAGCACCTAAACTATCACGAGCGAAGATTCCACTGGTATGCCCCTATAGTAAACCGTTCGTATTCATTAAATTCATTTTTACTTACTGTACTGGCTTCGTAGCTAATGTATAGTGCATACCAGAGCACTGAAACGGAAGATTTGTGTAACGTATGCCATGGATTGATAAAAACGTTACTAAAATCGTTTTGGTGTTCCATGATTATTCATTCAGTCATCAACCCTATCAAACATAAGCCGATTCAGGTGCTAACTGTTCTAGGACAATCCCTCTCGAATAACTACTCCCGATAATTAAAGGTATTTTCAATATAGCGGAAACAGAATATGAAAGTTAATTCTTTCTGAAAGAGTCATTCAAGGCATTACTCTTAGCATGTAATAAGTTCAATTACCAGTGTTAATTGTACAGTATAAATTTCTCCTCCCTTCCCCCTCCTAAAAGTGCTGAACGCCACTTTGTATCTATTTTGTTAAATCAGAGACTTCTAAGAGAATTTTCTATAATTCAATAAATCCAGTATCAGAT